ATGCCAGACTGTCTTCTGTCACTGCCGTTCCTGAGGCTTAAGCTTCCCCTGGGATAGCATCTGATCATCTTTGCTGTGGTCTAAGGGGTTACGTTATTATTTTATCATGGGAGTTAGAAGTACAGGTCCTCGGGCGCCTGGGTGGCTCAGTTGGTTGGGCGACTGCCTTCAGCTCAGGTCATGATCCTGGAGTCCCGGGATCGAGTTCCGCATCGGGCTCCTGCTCGGCAGGGAGTCTGCTTCTCCTTCTGACCCTCCCCCCTCTCATGTGCTCTCTCTCTCTCATTCTCAAATAAATAAATAAAATCTTTAAAAAAAAAAAAAAAGAAGTACAGGTCCTCGTTCAAACTCAGGTTCTGCTACTGCTCAAACTGGGTGACCATGGGCGTGCTCTGTGACTCTGTTTACCCTTCATCTTTGAAATGAGGGTAAGTCATCACCACACTGAGTTGTTGTGAAGGTTAAGTAGCCTGGCTAGAGCAGTTAGAAGAGGGCCGCCCACAAGTGAAGCACCACCTAAATGTTAGCTGGTATTATTGCTATTCCTACTACTTAAGAAAAAAAAAAAGTAATAAAAGGCTACTTGCTCTGAGGTATAGCCAGGTGGATTTCTGATTTATTTTTATTACTTATTTAGGTCTTTCCTGTGAAGAATCTTAGTTTTAATAGGTGCCATGTATGTGGGTCACAGCTTCTTTGGACAGTCCAGCCGATGGTTTTCTCACATGGGAGTCAAGCAAATCTCTTTGTGGCATATCCCTATGTGCCCAGGCTGGTCTGCGTGGAAGCACTTAAATCCGCCCCCCCCCTTTTTGCAGAGACGGGGTGGAGGGGCAGCTCCTGGTAGCTTTTGTGGTCACCTTGGCAGCTCACTGCCCTGCTGTTGTCCTTTCTGTTCTTGCTGTGCACGGCTCTTGCTTGTTGTCACCTTGTTAATGTGGCTTCTTTCCCCTTGTTTCCAGCAGCAACAGCTTGTGGTCCAGAACGAGGAAAGGAATCAAATACTACTTGACATGTAATCATTATCTGTCAGTTGTCTGAGGAGAGTATTTAGTGTGACGCCTCAGTGGAAATAGGATTTGTCCTCTTCACAGTAGTCTCTGTGTGAAAGCATACGCTAGGTGTGTCAGATGCAAGCTGGTGAGAAAGCAGGGGTTGGAAATTGGTCCAGTGGCCATTCTTCTGACAAGTACTTTTTTCGAGGGTCTCACCAAGTGCTGAGCATATCAGGGTATATCAGTGAACAAAATAGGCAAAAATCCCTGCCCTTATGGAGCTTGCGGTCTAGAGACAGAGATTTTCAGAACCTTTCCATGCTTCCCATTTTGCTCACATTGAAAGCTAGAGTATTTACAGGGACTGAAAAGACCCTGCCGGACCTGCTGCCCATCCCTACACCCTTACCTTTCTGATCTCACTACATACAGTCATTCTCCCCTCCAACATGCCGGGCACATCCCTTTTTAGGGCCTTTACCCTTGCTACTTCCGTGTTCCTCTAGACAAATCCCTTCAGCCAACTTCCTCATGCCCTTCGTGTCTAGATGTCACCTGTTCAGTGGGGCCCACCCTGACCAACCTATTCAAGGAGAACTGACCACTTTTCCAACAATCCTGACCCCCTGTTCCTTGCTCTGTTTTTTCCATAGTATTTGCCAATTTTTAACATATAATTGACTTATGTACGAAGGCAGGGATCTTAATTGTGTTTACTGAAGCATACCAAGGGCTTACCTAGGCCAGTATTGGCATATGGGAGGTATTCAGTAAACGTGTTGAATGACTGAAAATGAAAAGTACTCTGGAAAAAGTTGTGAAGGGAGTATTAGTTTCCCAGTTAACAAAACCTTGGTGACTTTAAAACAACAGAAATGTATGAAGTTCTGGAGGCCAGAAGTCCGAAATCAAGGTGTTGGCAGGACCATACTCCTTTGAAGGCTCTAGGGGAGAATCCATTCCTTGCCTCTATCTGCTTCTGGTGGCTCTAAACATTCTTTGGCTTGTGGTCCGTATTACTTCTGTGTCTGCCCCCATATGGTCACATCGACTTCTCTTCTTCTACCTCAAAACACTGCCTCTCTCTTAAAGGATACATATTTCGTCATATAAAGTCATATTCACTCTTGCCATATAAGATAATATTTATAGATTCCAGGGACTAGGATGTGGAAATCTGTGTTTTTGTCTGCCTCGCCTCCTTTTTTGGGGCCACCGTTCAGCCCACTAGTTAAGGGGATCCCTTTGATGACAGGAGGAATTGTCCCTGGTGTACCACCTAGTAGAACACCGAATTCAAAGAAAGCCAGAAGACTGCTCTCATCCATTTTCTTCTTTAACTGAAATTTTAATTGAAATTACATTTTTCTCCCAAAGTAAACACACATACACATGCACACAGAAGAGCACAAAGGATAATATTACAGTTTCCATGTACTTGTCTTCCCCAGTTGTTAACACATTTCCATAGTTCCTTCCTATCTTCCCATTCTTATTTCCTTTCCCCTCCCGACCCATATAGAAACAATTGCCATCATTAATTTGGTATGTGACCGATGTAGGGTTTATGTGGTTAATAGTTACTGTTCCATAGCTATTTATACATAATATATGGAGTCATGTGTGTTCGTGTTTTCTCTCCTGGCTTCAGAATACATAAATCCCAGAGAAGGCCTCTGGTAGCCCAGCTGGGGTCACATGCCAGTACTTTTGGATCAATCGTGGGTTCAGTGGATGGGGTACTCTGGTTGTTCAGGCCTGGAGTACGTGCCTATCCCTGTCGCCAGAGGGTCAACATGCTTTGTTTGAAGCTCTGTCAAGATCCCAGGATCCTGAAGGATTGCTATAGGAAGATATGGAAAAAGGATTGGGGGTAGACGAAAACACAGATTTCCACTCAAGTTTGAAGTTTGAGCTTGGACATCAGGTCCTTTGGGAAGCCTTCCCTGACTTCTTAGATCATGCACTTACCATGACTGTAATCATTATCATGTAGTACCTAATTTCCCTCTGCTTCTCTTGAGGTGTGCTCACCCAGGGCGGAGACTGTGTCTGCCTTGTTTACTGTTGTACCACAGGGCACCCTTACATGCTCAACGTGTGTGCACCCTCTCTGCCTGTAACAGGTTCCTGTGAGCGTTTGCACCTGCCTTTCAGGCCCATTACATTCCTCATGGCTCTTTTCACATCTTTTAGTGTATATGGATGATTTGGCCCTGTTTGGGATTTTCTTTTTTCCTTCCTTCCTTCCTTCTTTTTTTGTGGACAACAGTTTCTTCTTTTTCTTATTTAATAGTGAAAATTCAGGGAAAGATATAGTTGTTAAAATGCAGACTGAGACTTCTTTTTTTTTTCTTTTTTTAAGATTTTATTTATTTGCTAGAGAGAGGGAGTGCACACGAGCAGGGGGAGCAGCAGGCAGAGGGAGAAGCAGGCTCCCTGCTGAGCGAGGAGCCCAATGTGGGACTCGATCCCAGGACACTGGGATCATGACCTGAGCTGAAGGCAGACGCTTAACCGACTGAGCCACCCAGGCGCCCCTGTAAAGTCTTCTGAGTTGAGCCCTGCCAGGCTGTTTTTACCTCACTCTCCCCTTAGTTCTCAAGTGTGCACAGTAATTTCTTTCTAACCTCAAATATGCCATCAGCAGAATAGGTTTTATGCACATTTACTTCTGAATACCTTTTTAGCATCAAGAGAATTTGGATTTCAGTAGATGTAAGATGTGAATCATCCTATTTGGCAGTAGTAGCAATACTAATAATGGTAGTACTAGCAGTCCCCGTATACTGAATGCTGTTTCTGTGTTGGCTGGTAGATGTCCATGTCACCCTTACACCTGGTACACAGGTGAGAAAACTGCAGCTCGGAGGGCTCAGTGATCTGTTTGTGTCCCCTCAGCTCCTAAGTGGGGGGGTTGGGACATAAAGCTGCACACGGACCCCAGGGTCACACTCCTGAGGACCATGCCCTGCTGCCTCTGTAACTGGGAAAGAGAAAGCTAGAGTTTGGAAATAGAAAAGGACATCATACTGGTCACAGATAAGGAGTGGTGTTCCTGCCATAAAGCTTTGGTAAAGATAAAGAGCACAAGGGAGAATCAATCCAAATCTTAGAACAGTATTACCGTGGCCTCTCTGGGGCAGAGAAGGAGCCAAGGTGTGTGCAAGTGGGGCTGAAGCCACACGCAGAGGCATAAAGTGGCACTGCATGACTTGGAATATTGGAGAAAGCATTTGAGAAATACAGGTCATCCAGTGCTCTTTCTGTCTCTAGCATGCTAGTTGGTCTGTGGCCCCGGGACTCTCGCCACGGTCATAGTCATTCAACCAGGAAGGCTTTGAATATGTGGATAAACATTCATACATAAAATAAATTTTACTTAGAATACTTGCACGAAGCAAAGCCCAATGAATTTATGAGCATCTCATTGAAGCTTTGTGGGACAGACAACCCAAGAAGTTGAGGGCAAGCAGACAGCGGAATCTGATCATATGCTGCCATTACTATTAAAGATGTGTACAAGGCCATCGATACAGCTATTCTTTATTTGTGCTGTTTTAAATCAGTATATACAAGGGCTTTGATAGGTTCTATCTAGACCTTAGTGTCTATCTCCTAACCCTGTAGTTATTCTAGAGTCTTGTATTATTTAGCTCTGAATTCCCTTACCATAAACGTTTTCAGGAACATAACCCCTACGGTTGGAGGAGATTACTGATATCACTGAACCTGATAGGATAATCTGTGCTTTTTGTAACCTGTCTCCTCCGCAGGGTTACTGTAAGTACCTTCCTGGCAGGGACACTGTTTTCTGCTTTTACAGTACTTGACTTGGTTCCATGTTAAGTAAATAGTCTACTGGTTTGTGTTTGGACTCCTAACTAGTGCCACTTGTACAATATGTCTGTGTTCTCAACGGGGTTATTGTGTTTCTATCCATAGAGGGCATCTGTAGGATAAATGGACGGTACTAAAATCAGGCTGGGTTTTATCCCCCTCCAGGTTGCGTCACAACGCATTAGCTCAGTGGACCTCTCGTGTTGTAGCCTGGAGCATCTGCCTGCCAACCTCTTCTACAGCCAAGACCTCACTCATCTCAACTTAAAACAAAACTTCCTAAGGCAGAATCCCTGCCTACCAACTGCCAGGGGGCTCAATGAACTGCAAAGGTGAGCATACAGAAATGGGTAGCCTCTGATTGTTATTTGAATATTCTGACTTAAAAAGCTACAGTGTGTAACCTTTCTCTTTCAGAGGGCAGGGTAATAGGACTTTATGGAAGTGAGGACATTATCAGTTTCATTCTGGAAATTTTTTTAAGGTCCCTGCCTTTGAAACGAATGATTTATGATATTAATTAACTGGACAGATTTGTGTAAGAAGGATATTTCTTTTGAAAACACTTCTGTTCCCTAACTGATCTACAAATGGGTCTGTGAAAAGTTTGTTACTCGGTGTTACTTCTGAACTACTGAGGTTTGGTCAGATTAGATTATTTCTTTTGAAATTTATGAAAAGTCAGTTTCTTCTGTGAAAAGACATTTCCCCACCAGTTTAAGAACTAAGGTTTAAATCCACTAATACCAGGGCATCTGGGTGATTAGTGTGTAGGTTTCAAGAGTCCAATGTTAAAACAGTATGCTTTATAACTGGAGAGAAGGGGCTTTATTTGCGTGTACTTAAAACAGATTTAAGAATTTACTGTATTCATTTCCTCTTTAGAGCAATGATCATTCTTGATTCTGTGGTAAATTAAGCCTCTGATGCTTATATATTTGTTGCAGATATCTGAGACTATAACTGCAAAAGAATGTAACTTTTAAATAATGAATTGTTCACTTGTTCTAAATGACTGATAATGATCCGAGATTAAACTATGGTAACTTACCATTGTGATTATGTGTTCACGTGTTTTAATATCCAAAAAGAAAAACCCAGTAAGTGTTTATTATAAAGTTTGTGCAATGTGTAATTGGAAAAGAGAAGAGTATTCTAATTGTCTTTTCAGACCATTGTGAATAGTCTTCTTTGATGCTATACCAAAACTTGACAAGTGGTCATTTCTTAAATGTTGGTTCCAGTATGGAATCTTAAACCCTGTTGTTAAACTTGAAAAAATTCTTTTACATTAGGTTCTGTTGACCTTTGTTGCACTTTGAATGGGTCCTTGCCCATGCATCACTTTATCTCATTAATTATTGGCCATTTGGGAAATACTAGCTCATTAGAAAATGGAGCTATTCCAGATGTTAATGCACTTTATTGTGCAATTTCAAGACATCACAGTTGTTAATATCACCACTGAGCTCATCAGAAAAATCTTTAAGTATTGGGAAGTTCTCAAGTTCACGGTGGAAACAAGTTTTCCAAAATTTGGTGTTCATTTGGAAGCTTGAAGGCTATCCTTGGCAACAAATACCGTCAGTTGTTTTTCCTGAAATGACCTTCTCACTTCATTGTAGAGAAAATGTCTGCCAAATACCCAAGTCCGAATAGTGAATTTGTCAGTTGTTCTTTCACGTAAAAGTTGCATTCCATGAATTGACTAGTTTGGCTCACAGCTCAAATAATCATACAAGTGTTTTCTTTGAGATAACCATCATACTTTACAGCAAAGGTGCTTTTATCCACAGATATAGAGGGCCAATCAGGAAACTCTGAAAGAACTAAATAATAAGCAGTGTAGGACGTTCAAACTCTTGGTATCATACTCTTGAATCCTAAGACACCAGCAAAGGGACATCAGAATTCATTCAAACCAATGCTCCCATTTTAGAGATGAGGTGGATGGAGAAGGTAAATGTCAGTTTCAGATTGATGGTTACCTGTTGTGAGGCAGTTAGGGGCATAGGATTAGGGAATGGTCCGAGGAGGGTTTCAGCTATATCCATATGTTTATTTCTTTAAAAATAGAAGCAAATATGAAAAAATTAGACGCAAATATGACAAAAATGTTAATATTTGAAAAAGCTGAAGAGTGGTTGTTTGGATGATCATTATCTTTTGTATTTTTCTATTTGCATGTTTCATAATAATTTCAAAATTTAAAACCTAAACACAAAGAAAATCAAAGTGCTTCTAATTCCATAAGGGAATAGGATGCTCCCAAAGAGCCAGCCAGCATTTCTGGACTAAACAAATAAATACCCAGGTGAAAGGGTATTTGGGGCATTGCCCTGCTTATTATTTAATTCTTTCAGAGTTTCCTGATTGGCCCTCTATATCTGTGGATTCTACGTCTATAAATTTCTTTTCGACCCTTCCCCCCCTTCTCCTGTGCTCCCCCTTCCTCAGCACACGGCCCGTCCCGCAGCTGTCCGAGGAAGCGCTTCTCCGCTCTCCCGCGGACAGCGTGGGGACAGCACAGGGACAGCACAGGGACAACGCAGGGAGCTCTGCAGAGCGGCTGCTGCCCTGTCATTTTCCCACTGCAGTTCGCCCTCGCTAGTCTTCTCGCCTGCAGTTTCCTACATTCCTTGCTTTCGTTTCGTAGTTTAAAAATTTAAACCTTTTCCCCAAGTAACATCCTATGTAGATTTTTTTAAATCTTAACAAACAACAAGACTTATAATAAGAAATATGTGCCGGGAACTCCCACCCATCCTTACACCCCAGGCCTCCTCCCCAGGCAACCACTTTTGAGTCTTTTGGCTCTTTTATGCAGTTTTCCTGCATCTTCCGAAGTACTCTTTATATACTGCTGTTTTAACGTTTTTTTGTTCTTGGACATTCTATGTTGATTTATTACTGTGGAAGGTGAAGATGTAGCTCTCTTACCTTGCCTCCCCGCATGCGCACACCGCTGCCTCTGCCATCCGCTCGGGGTAAGGCCAGCTGTCCGTTTTGGAGCAGGGAGCTGTGGCCCACAGCCAAGGCGCTTTAAAGGCAGTGACTACATTTCCTTTCCTGTGTTGGCTGGAGCCTCTCACATGCGTACTTTTTTTCTCTAGGGTTTCTAAGTTTTCTGACAGAACTCTGACATTCTGACACCTTTTTCTTGGACACTTCTTTCGTCCTGGAGTCAGGGCAGCAACCTGCTCCGTGTGCACAGCTGGTGTCCTGGGATGACCTTCCGTCATTTTCCTGGTAGTTCTCGTCTCCCCCGTGTTGGACCCATAGTTTGCTGACAGCTGGTAACTTGAAGAAAGACTTGGTTTACTCCCTGTTTTTAATGGAATATCTTCCTGAGAAAGGAGACACGGGAGACCAATTTATTAGACACTTTACATGTCTGAAAATACTTTTCTCTCCCACTTGAATGGTAACCTGGCTGGCTTCTAGGTAGGAAAACGGGGTGTCCTGAGAATTTTGACGCCGGTGCACCATTATCTTCTAGTTTCTAGAGTTGCTATCAAAAAGTGTTATGCTATCCTGATTCCTCTCTTTACAGGTGACCTTTTCCCCCCTTTTGTTTGCTTGTTTGTTTTGTTTTGGTTTGGTTTAAACCTCCAAAAGATTTTAGGATCTTCCTTTTATGGCATTCTATTAATTTCAGCCACTATGATGAACACTTGATCTAAAAAAATTATGTCCTTTAGTTCTGGAAAACTTTCCCATTATGTTTTTTTGATCATTTTCTCCCTGACCTTGGTTTTCTCTTTTCTTCCTCTGAATTCCTGGGAGTTTGGTGAGACCTCCTTGTTTCTCCTCTAATTCGCTAATTTTCCTAGCTCTTTGCTTTAATGTCCTATTTGACAGGTGTCCTCTATCTTAACCCTTCTGAAATTCTGCTGTCTTTATTTTTCAAGAGCTCTTTCTTATTTGTTTTTAATTTGTGTACATTTTAATAGCATTCTCTTCTGTTTTTTCTCTTCTGTTTCTGAGGACATTAAAGTTATTTATTTATTCATTTCCTTCTTGCACTGTCAGTTTCTTTTTTTCCTGTTTGTGTAGGTGTCTGAGTTTTTGTGTTAGAAACGTAACTATTTGGGGGCGCCTGGGTGGCTCAGTCGTTAAGCGTCTGCCTTTGGCTCAGGTCATGATCCCAGGGTCCTGGGATCAAGCCCCACATCGGGCTCCCTGCTCTGAGGGAACCCTGCTTCTCCCTCTCCCACTCCCAGGCTTGTGTTCTCTCTCTCACTGTCTCTCTCTGTCAGATAAATAAATAAAAATCTAACAAAAAAAAAGTAACTATTTGGTGATCCTTTGCTCTCTGTTCCTATTTAATGGTGAGTCACTGAAAAGTGAGTTGGCTACTGAGATACGTGGGCAGGGCTTCTCCACCATACAGCTGCTCTGCCATGGCTATCGGGGGTGAGCTTGTGGTTTCATTGGGGAACTTCCAAAGACAGTATCTGTGGATCTTTTCCCTGAGGCATGTCAGTTTTACTTGAGAGGAATCCTGTGGTCTTCTGTGTGGGCAGTGCATGCCAAGATTCGGGAAGCAGAGTGAGGAAGAGAGCTGGAATCTCAAGGTTAGAGTGTGGGTTTTTAATTTATCCCTGTTTTCAGAACAGTGTTTTCTACTGGGCCTGATGTCTTTGAGCCAGAGACTCTCCAGTTCAGGTTCTTCCAGGGAATAAGCTGTGTTCTGCTGGAATTGGGGAGAGGATCTGGGGTCTTAACTCTTCCTTGTGTAACCTCATGAAGTCTTCTTGTAGAAGTATAACAAAATCATAGAAAAGGCACAAGTATGAGTCTACAATTCGGTGGGTTTCCACAGAGTAAACACATCCATGTAACCAGTACCTATATTGAGAAATAGAATATTACTAGCACCCCAGAAGCCTTCCTGTGCCCCTCCTCTAATTACAGATTAGATTAAAAATAATCACTATCTTGACTTTTAACACCATAAATGAGTTTTGCCTGTTTTCGTACTTGCTATAAATGGGTAGTATATAGTGGTGTCCAGCTTCTTTCATTTACGTTTTTTTTAGAAAAGCGAACAAAGCATATGAAGTTACATATGATTAGTTTGTTCTTTGTAGTGTGCAGGATAAAGCCATGTCTTTTACTTAAGGTAGAAGATTTTTCAGTTTTACGCTGCAGCAAAGGTTTCTGTTGCTTTCTGTTGCTTTATGCCTAGGGGAGATAGACCGAGGGGACTTGGTGTGTGTGGGGGGGGTTGGTCTGAGCACCTGCTAAAGCTGCTGTTGTGTTACCCTTTAGAAAACAAATGGGCTTTAAACCAATTTTTTTTCCTACCACATACTACTACCCCCTTGTC